GTTTAGGATTTAGGGTTTTGGGATCCCGGGCCGTCAGCCTCTCAACCCGGGCCGAATGCTGAGGATACCTCTGGGGTGCCGAGGATTACTGGACCCACATGACAGGGGGCGCCTTGGGTGGATCTTCAATGTAGATGTGGGCACAAGTATCCCAAACTCTCTAAAGCCCAAAGCCTGAACCCTAACACGAACATGGAGAGCATGCACCCCGCTCAAGCGACCGCCTTTATTCCCTAAGCCCTAAACCCTCCACCCTAAACCCTAAACCCTAAACCCTAGATTCCCTAAACCCTAAACCCTAAACCCTGGGGTCCCTAACAGTTTGGGGCAAGCGGAGGTGCCTATGACCTCCTCGATGGCACGCGCAGTGCCTTCGAGTACAACGGCACGCACTCGACGGGGCTCTGGGTGCAGAGCCTTGCCTTTTAAAGGAACCCTAAATTCCCTTAAAGGAGCCCTAAATCCTAGACCCTATAAGCCCTAAAAGGAGCCTGAAATAACCTAAATCCCCTTAAAGGAGCCCTAAATCCTAAACCCTATAAACCCTTAAAGGAACCTCAAGTGCTGAAGCCTATAAACCCTTAAAGGAACCCTAAATCCTCAACCCTGTAAACCCTTAAAGGAACCCTAAGTTCCGAAACCTATAAGCCCTTAAGGGGTTTAGGGTTTAGGGTTTAGGGTTTAGGGTTTAGGGTTTAGGGTTTAGGGTTTAGGGATGTTTCGGGTCTAGGGCCCTTAAGGGGCCATTGGGGGGGAGGCTTGCATAGGCTTGGAAAGGTTTCCTATGATGTAGTCTTCGTGTGTTGGGGTGGAGGGTTTAGGATTTACGATTTAGGGTTTAGGGTTAGAGGTGTAGGGTTTAGGGTTTAGGGTTTGCGGTACAGTAGGGTTTAGGGTTTAGGGTTTAGGGTAGGTTTACGCATATATGGGTGAATAGATACAGTATATAGGTTGAGACGGGTTGTATAGGCTCTAGACCCTAAACCCTAAACCCTAGACCCTAAACCCTAAACCCTAAACCCTAAACCCGGCTCGGATGGGATTAGATTGGTGATGCCGATTATCGAGCTAGGGCTTCAAAGTCGGGCTTGGGACATTTCAAGACTTTGAGGGGCGTGCATACAGCCTTAGGGCTTTTTGTTGTTCCTGGTTTAGGGTTTAGGGTTTACGGGTTTAGGGGTTTGGGGTTTAGGGTTGAGGGCTTCTACTTCGGTTGAAGAGTTGTTTACTTGTTTTCTACACCTCTTTCTTCGACGCTAGAAGGGTGCCAGTGCGGCAGGAGTCGATGTGCTGAGGGGTTTAGTGCTTGGTGCTTTGAGGGTTTAGGGGTCGATCTACCAGCTACGGTGTTAGGGCTTTGCAGGTTCAGGACTTTTGGTTTAGGATAGTGGTACGATGTAATGCATGGTTGAGCACTTGGGTTGCGGTTTAGTTGGGTCCAACGGGTGTGACCACCAGGCTGAATTGTTCAAAGACAGGGGTCGGCTGTGGGGGTTTGGGGTTGAGGGTTTAGGGGTTATGGGTTCGAGGTCGTCCATAGGCATCCAAGCCGTACGGGATTTTGAAAGAAGCCTAGGTGTTGTTTGGAGGTTCAGCCGTGGAAAGAAACAGCATGGCTTGTGGGAATGCCTCTGCTGGAGCACATGCGACCAGGTCCTCAAACGAGTGCTTACGGGATTCTATCCGGCTCCTTCATGTGTTGCCATACGGGCTTATAAGTTCATTTGTCCTTGTTCATCAAGGGTTCTTGGTCTAAGCATGAGTAAGATTTGGGAGTTTCCGAAAATGAGGGGTACCTTACTTAGGCCTACTATATTTAGGGTGCTATATGAGGATCCCCTATTTTCGGAAATCCCCCAGAGGTGGCTTTGTTATTTTTTTGTGGTTTGCAGCCCTAGAAGCGGATGACGCCAAGGAAAGTGGTTCAACTCCTCCGGGACTCCCGCTCCGACAAGTGACGTGGCTGCTCCCCAGAGACTCCAATATCCCTTAATTAAGGAATATACCTTAAATTATAGTAGGATTCCTAATATGATTCAAGGATATGCCTTAATTAAGGGATATTGGAGTCTCTGGGTCCATCCTGAATGCAGTCGCTTTTCCTGGACGAGGTTGACAAATTATAGAGGAAGGGGAGTCTGCAGTAATCCTTCACAAACCCTAAACCCTAGGCCCTAAACTCTAAATAATCCGTAAGCGCAAGGAAAAGTTCACCAAAAGAAATTCCAACCTCGAATCTATGCCGTTCGAGATCCTTTTGGGATCAGGGTTTGGGGAGCCGCAGGGGTGGTACGCCTTCACACAGAAGGCCAGGGTTTAGGGTTTATAGGCTTGAGCCGTATATTACTAACATCTGCAAACCTCATCATGTCATCAGTTTTCATCATATGAAGGAAGGCACGAATAGGGTTCTATACATAATAGGGCTCCCTTTAAGGGATATATTATAGGGCTCCAGACAGAATAGGGCTTCCTCTAAGGGATATATTATGCACAGGGCTCTATACAGAATAGGGTTAAGGGATATTATAGGACGCTATACAGAATAGGGCTCCGTTCTATACATACTTGGAAGGGATATTATAGGACGCTATACAGAATAGGGCTCCGTTCTATACATACTTGGGTTCCCTTTAAAGGGTCTTAGCTCTAGCGTCGACCCTATCGGTACAGCCTAAGCTTGCTCAGGCCTTTCTTCATCTACCTTGCCTTCCAGAACGTGCACTGGCCTCTAGAAGCACCGGCAGAGTACATGAGGCCATACATACGTCTGTATACATATACATATACATATACATATACATATACATATACATATATATATATATATCATATCATATCATATCATATCATATCATATCATAAGGTATCATGTCGTATCATATCATATCATATCATATCA